GAAACATGCTCTGAATTGCAGCTTATGCTTGCGGCGAGAAACACTGAATTTTTAATTTCAAGAAGGAAACTTCTTGTGCACATAGCAACAAAACAAGCAAGTTTTAAGGAGAAATGAAGCACCAAATAATTGAGAATCAATCAGAAACTGAATAAAAAAAATCAAATAAAGGCACCAGAAAAGGGCGAAAAAAAAACTGACCAGAGGAACAACCTGCACAAATATATCATTTGCATACATGCTATGGACATACAAATGAAATGTACTGTTTGGCAACGCTTCCGCGAACAAAAAAAAAGTACGGTCGCAAGATATACTCGAAAAAGTATTTCCAAATTTTCTAGGCTATTCATAAAATTTAAAGATTCGAGGTGCTCGAATTTCCAGAATTTATTCCTTTTTTTTCTTTTGAAGCAAAAATAGAGGAGCTACGGTAAGGCCGAAATTAGAAGGCGCAGAAATGAAAGATTTTGTATTCAGAGATGCGAAAGGCTTTCTGTAATTTGGCGATACTAAACGACCGAAATTGCTCAGGGTGCTTAGAGAAAAGGTTACTTGAAGTGCTTAGGTATTCATGAAAATGAAGTACTTTGCATTTTATACTGAACAAAAGTAGCCTATTAAGAATTAGCTGATAGGCTCGGCTGGATTCGAAGGATTCAAAACTTTTGCTTTAATAACAACTAGTTAACGAAGTTATTGATAAGTAGCGGCAAGTACCGAAGCTAGATTTCACCGTTGGGAAGTCGGTTCCAGATTTGCGGTAGAACGGTACTACGATACCTAAATTGCAAAAAATCGACACTTTTTAGCTGGATTTTTTATTAATGCTTGAAAGAGGGAACCATCGACAACCTTGTCAGTAAATGGTTTACTCTGATAAAGTGCCACCACATCAGTAGAAGTAGTAATTCGGAGTTTCTTCAGACAACGAAATCCGTAGGCGACTTCCATTTTGGCAAGACTAAGGCGATATAGGAACAGACTTCAGGCAGATTTTAATAAATTAGGACGAAACTTACAAGCCAAGCTTACATCTCTCAATAAGAAGGACTGCTTCATCCGAGTCCCATGCAATGCTCATAAAAAGCGTGGATCAAAATCGAAGTCCACTCAAAAAATAATGTGGTCACAGGCTTCACAAAAGAATGAAAACTTGAAATTGTACTATTGAAGATATCAAACTGGCAGAGAACAAAAAACAGCCGATATGGCACAGAGTGACCAAAGATGAAGTACAGAGGACAACAAGAGCCATAAAAAAATCATCGGATTAGCCGTGAGCAATGCAAAACTGAGCGCATCATCATTTCAAAATGTTTTCACGGGCTTTAAGAAGCAACGAGCCAAAACATTTCCAGAGTTTTCTGGATTCGAAGATAATCTGGATTTATGGTTTTCGGAAGTAAAATTGGCGAAAAATGGCAGGAAATTGTGTTAGCTTCATGGGAAAATCATGAAAACGATGATAAAACAATACCGATGGCACAAAATGAAAAAAAAAAAATGCTAATATTATATTACTGATAACGATAGCTATTATGCACCGCTGCCGCCGCTG